GATCTGAGGTATTTCCAATGGTGGAGTAACCCAATATTAAATCACATCCTCCTCTAAATTGGATCAGATTTTCACTTTTAAAACAACACACCAGCTGGGAATTACATACAACGAAGTACACTTTCCAAGTAGATATTAAATGTAAAATATTTATAAAATATGTATAAAATTTAAAGTTTAATTAAATGTAAAGTATTTATAAAATATTTATAAAAATATATAAAAGTAGATATTAGATTAAATGCTCGATTGTTCATTATTTTTGAGTCTATTAAATATGTTTTGGTATGCGAATATTAATATGGTCTCTGAAACCGAAATAAGCTATATGTTTCTCTTTGCCGTATATTAATCGATGTTGAATTAATGTCCTCCTAAACCGTGATAATTAGAATTATACCGAGGAAAGTCATCCTATTTTAAAATAACGCTATAATGGACAAGAAGTGAAAACCTGTTTCATCGACGGCTCCCGGATGGAATTCCAGTATGCTAGAGCATTTTATACAAATATGCCCCAATTTTTGAAAGATTGTGCCCCAAAGGATGGTGATCAGACAGCGTTGCGCCTTCCCTCCCGTAAACGTCGCGCCGACCGGACGTTCATCGCGAACTTTCAGTCATCTAAAGTTTCATAGGAAATCTCTCGGATGTCTTGAAAATAATAGCAGCTCTTGATTGAAATATTTGTCATCATAGAAAATTTTTGTCTGCTATTAACCGGTCTTGTGTGGGAACCTTCTATGGCGAACAGGGGGGAATGGAATTTAGAAACCCTAACGGTGTGTTCCGCGCTTTATTTCACTTCTACCGGCATTCGGGCCATATCACGAAAACGGAACATCGGAACACCGAAGGAAGTCGTAGATGTACGAATCCCCAAGTGATAGTACTAATCAATTAAGGGTAATGTAAAAAAAAAAAAAATTGCTATGGCATTTTGGCATAACGTTTATCCAATACATACGCTCTATTCATCTGGCAACATTTAAAGTTAGAAAATAAGAAGTTAATGAATTTAAAAAAATCCTTACGGTTCAATAGTACTTTTTTGGAAAAAATAAGATTCATCGTAAGTGTATTTTTTAATAATACAAAATATTTTATTATTAAATTTATATTTTATATTTGGCAACAGTATTTATATATGACAAAGACCGGCTACAATACCATTTCGTTTATTTTATTTATTTATTTTAAATATAGCATACCCAGTAGGCGTCCGGTTGTGCTAGTCCACGTACCACGAGGATGCCAATGTTAATTTGACTTCCACAGACAGCTGTCGATAATAATTCATTCACATTAGCCCGAAGTGGATAGTATGAATAAAGGACGCCCACGTCTTTTCCATCACCGATATTTATATACGCCGTTGATTTTAATTATAGGTTTCGAACAGCCGGATAATTACAAATTGTTTTGGTACGGACCTTGCTGCGAGTCCCTGGAGAGGCTTCTATTTTTAAAATAAAAAAATACCTAAAATCTGGTAGCCCGGTGCGAGGATATAAAGACCTCTATTCCGCTAAGGTCAACGGCGAGAGTCACGAAATGTCTCGAGGAAGCCATAGATCTTGGCCGAGGACCTGTTCCGCCCAAGGGAGCAATCTTCAACTTGTCGCTGAGGGCCCCTAATAACAGGGCTTGGAGGCGGTAGCATGCAGGCCGACCTCAATTTTCTCGAAACTGCTTCAATCGGCTAACGAATTTTCGCAATTTTTTATCGTTTAAGTATCTAATGGAACGTACATAATACTGGCCCGTTCACAGCTAACATGTCTATGTGCTTCCATTTTTTTTTCTTTACTCAATTAATTTGTATACAATTATGGAAATATTTAAAAACGAACTATTAAAAACCAACAGGGGGCGTAGGTAGCCGCAACGTTTTAGGCGTTGACACGGCGTTCATCACTGTAAGGTTAAGGTCCCGGGTTCGAATCCAGCGGCCCTGCATTCGAACCCGACATACTTACAAATGGGCTTTTTTTTCAAAAACACCGGTACCCCGAGGGTTGATATAACCTCTGAAACCCTCGTAAAAAAAAAGCTTCATCGTCATTATTTACTTATTTTTATTGGTAATTTTATTTCACCACAATCATACCAGGCAAATACTTGAAAGTAGAAATATAAATAGTTATACAGATATATATATATATATATATATATATATATATATATAAAAAGGAGAATACACATTAATTATATTATATAACAGGGGGGGCCAACCTGCGGCTCGCGAGCCACATGCGGCTCTTTGAAGGATTATTTGTGGCTCTCGATAAATGTACCCGAGTTCCCTTTTCATTTTTGTGCTATTATATTTTTAAAAATTATTATCGTTCCGTATGTGTTTCAAAATGTCTTTTAAATTAACAGATCTTCCGCAATTGGCAGTTTTCATACGTTTTGTTTCACCTGAGTTCGTTGTTAAAGAAGAATTATTAGATTTATTAGCACTTCAAGAGTCAACCCGCGGTGTCGAGATTAAAAATGCATTAGATTCCATAATGAAAACTTTTGATGTGCCTCTTAATAAACTTGTAAGCATTGCAACTGATGGAGCTCCGGCAATGCTGGGTCAAAAAATCGGTCTTATTGGGCTTTTAAGAGATGATTCTCAAATTCCACAATTCATACCGATTCACTGCATAATTCACCGAGAACATCTCGTTACAAAATATTTAAAATATCCTGGTGTTATGAAAACAGTGTTACACATTGTAAATTACATTCGCACCAATGCAAAAAATCATCGACAATTCAAAAATTTCCTTGAAGAATTAAAGGATGAAGAACTTCCAGATGACATTAATTTCTTTTGCATTGTTAGATGGTTATCTAGCTACAACGTATTAAATCGTTTTGTAGATTTGTTTGATCCGATAACTGCATTTCTAAAAGAAAAGGAAATAACCTATTCAGAATTAGACGATGACGAGTGGTCACAAGACTTAATGTTTTTGACTGATGTCATGGAACATTTGCAAACACTGAATGTACAATTGCAGGGGAAAGATAAAATAATATCTGACCTCTCACAGTGTATATTTAGTTTGCAAACTAAATTACAACTTTTTCAAAAGGACATTAAAAATAAAACATTTTGTCATTTTCCTCGAATTAAAATTTTTTTTTCCAATATTAAACAAGAAAAACTCAACGAGTATATAAAAAAGATAGAAGGAATATTGACGGAATTCCAAAATAGATTTCAAGACTTGAAATATTTTAAATCGTTTCTTGATTTTTTTCTGAATCCATTTGAAATTAACATAATTCAAGGTGAGCTTTCCATTTCCAATATAATTATGACCCAAAAAGCATCTGGAGAATTAGAATTAATAGAGATGCAAGAAGATCAAGCTCTACAATTAAAATATAAGTCGACGTCGATTACTGAATTTTGGAAATTTGTACCAGAATCGAAGTATCATGAATTAAAAAATGCTGCTTGTCGAATTATTTCAATATTCGGAACAACTTACTTATGTGAATCATTTTATTCCACTTTAAAATTTGTGAAATCCAAACACCGATCAGTATTAACTAACCAGCATCTCAAAGAATTACTGAGAAGTGCTGTCACCAATTATTCACCAAATTTTAAAGAATTATCAAGAGAAGTAAAATAAATGTGTTTAATTTTTAATATTTAAATTCAATACACATATTTTGTACTTTTATTTATATGTTTTCAATAAATATAATTTCTGTAAAAAAAAATTTAATACCTTTTTTGCATACGTTTTAAATACGTATTTAATTGCGGCTCGCGAAAAATTTCAAATTTTGAAAAATGGCTCGGACTATCAAGGAGCTTGGCCACCCCTGTTATATAATGATAATAAAAATATGGTAAAACAATGAGAAGTCGGAAGAGTTTGAAAATTACAACATAACAGTTATGATGTTATAGTTGAATTCTTTACAGATATTATTAAAATATAAAGACTTGTTCATAACAATAATAAACAATTCAACTGATTGGCTATAATAACGATAACGGAGGCGGCTAAGGGACGTCCCAATCTCCGAACCTAGTCAAAGCGATCCAGCCCTCTGATTAATAAAATACGTGATCAAAAGGAAGGGCAGCTTAGTCGATCTGAATCTGCAGAGAAGCACTTACGTATCAAGAGCACCATCCGTTGGTCATCCTCACTCGATTAAGGACAGGCCATACGAGGCTGCAATAAGGACGAATTACCTTTGGGCCAAAGCCCGCATATGTGTCCTGCAAGAAAAGAAAGGTTGCTACTTGTCGTCCACAATTGAAAGGTGGCTCGGGTCCTTAAGAAGAACGAGCAGGAAAAAATCTTACGCGATATGAAAATTGGCTTGAGCAACGTTTGTTTCCGATTTTGGGAAAGTTTAAAAAATAATACGTACATTTTGTTCTGTTATATTATATATTTTTATCCTGTGATAATATATATTAGCATGAATGATTAATTTTAGAGGGTCGATGAAGAATATTTAGTATCCCTTCGAATCTCAATAATAGATTCGTCAATGAGTATTGGGTAATGAGGGAATATCGAGCACTCGATAAGCAGCAGTTGATTGAATGATACGTAAATAATAAAGAACGTATTTAAGAATAAGTGAGAGTGAGAGTGTGAGCGTGCGTAGTTTAACACACAGCATGCAATGGTGGCAGGACGACCGAGGTCTGATCCCGTTCTGACAATGCCGTATGTGACTCTCAAGTATTTCTGAAGGCTAATTTTCGCTTTACAGTACAAATGTTAACTGGAGCAGGTGGACAGTTTAGAAACATACCAAATCCTTTTTAAGTAGTTCAAATGTCATACGATTAAAAATACACCAAAAAACAAAGGTTCGGAAATATTTATGACAGGTCTTGATTGACTTTTCGTGCAATATATCTTTTTCTTGTATGGCATATCCGTTATCATTGCGTTTCATCCAAAATATTTTTTTTTGTATTTACGAATCTACTCCAGTTAATCCGTAACATATCTTTTCAGGTAGGTCTTCACTGCGGAATGACTCTCTATCAAGGACATTTACCAGACCCTTATGGAGCAGAATTTCAAGTAATAATTTTAAAAATTATTCTCAATACTAATTTAGTATTAGTAAACCTATATAGTAATATTAATTATTCAGAAATCGTGAGATGCGTTTCGTGTTGAGAGTGCCAGTGAGACTAACAAGAATGGCACAATTAGAAAACAAACACTTTGAGCCCTGAAGATGATCTCAATAAAGATCGAAACGTTGGCACGATAGAAAAAATGTTTTTCTGAAACCTACATCACACCAGACCGCATCCCACGATTTTTGAATAATCATCGACTAACGGCCACTAATCACCACACAGTAATATTAATGCTACTTCTACCTACAACTAATATCAGTACTAATAATATATACATTATTTATCATTATATGTGAAATTGCATTATAAAGAGAAATAAGCATCTACGGCTTGGCAATTCGTCAAGCATAACTTATTTATACACATGTGACTAATACTGCATGAGATTATGAATTGCATTAGGCCATAGATATTTATGTGATAATTTAAATTGGAAGAGAAAACATCATTTGAGACGATTTATTTTCAATATTCTTGACTTAGCTGAAGTTAGTTTTCAGTTTTCCATGTTTAACTTACGATTTTTCCTTCTTGAAGGTGGGATAATAGGTCATCTCAAAAAAACTACAACCGGTTTTTATCCACAACGTTTCGGATTTATTTTAATCCTTCCTCAGGTGAGTTAACGCAATGGTTAAAACAGTGGTCGTCAGTCATTAATATTTTATAACAGTTTATTTTAAAAAAGAGCCAGTGTGGTACTTATTTAAGTCTTTCAGACGCCGCACAAACGTTTTAATATTTTGAACCTGACTAGACTCATTAAATATGTACAATACTGGCTCTTTTTTAAAATAAACTGTTATAAAATATCAATGACTGACGATCACTGCTTTAACCATTGCGTTAACTCACCTGAGGAAGGATTAAAATAAATCCGAAAAGTTGTGGATAAAAACTGGTTGTGGTTTTGTGGTTTTTTTGAGATGACCTATTATCACCTTCAAGAAGGAAACATAAGTTAAACAACATAGGTCGAAATATGAGAAAACAACATAAATACTTAGTTTAATACATGCACGCTATAATTAAAACCACATGACGAATCTCACGATAATTAAAACATCATTTCTACCTGAATTAATTAATTTTATGTACAATTCTTTCTATTTTTAAATTAACAACAAAATTATTTTCAGTATCACGCTTTTACACTTTTTTTGTTGTTGTAGCAAGCCATTGGAATAGGACTGAAACTTATTGATTCATTTATTTAAGCTTTATTCTACACGTACATACACATCTATACAGAAGTGACCTTACGACCTCTCGCGGTCCCGGAATCATCCACAACAGTGTTTTGGCGGTCCGGGGTCAGACCACGTTTTTTAACATTCAGCCCATGTTAGGCTCGAGGGTCTGAATCCATTTGAAAATTTCTTTACAATAAATAAATAACAATTATCTTTTTGGTTTATTTTCTTTACTGTTCCTATTTATCCGTGGGTATTGGTGATAATTTATTGAAAAACTCTAGGATTTTTGTTCTTTATTAAAATGAATGCTTTTCGAGCTAATGCCAACAACCCCACATCAAATGACGATTTTTTGGCTTACATTTCATCTGGCTTCGGTTTATTTATTTTTTTTACAAAAAATATACATTGAGAAAATAGTATAGGCATATACAAATCAGACAGAACTGTCAGGTCAGAAGGCAGTCTGGAGAGAAACCAGCCAAAGCTGGAACTCTGTTTTATTTAATTGAGTGGAAATTAAAGAAATTAATATATAACTCATTTTAATAAAGAGAAAAATACTGGAGTTCTTCAATAAATTATCATCGATATCCATGGAAAACAATAATCTTTCATTTTTAAATTTTAGCCAATTATATTGATTTTAAAATTAAATGAATATCAAATTTATTTAGACGTTTATCTAAATTCGTCATATGTTTTCTTTATTGAAACATTGAAGTTTTTTTACTTTATAGTGTGTTTTCATTTAAAATGTGTTAAATGTGTGGTGATTAATGACCGTTAATCGATATTTATTTAGAAATCGTGAGATGCGGTCTGGTGTGATGTAGGTTTCAGAAAAACATTTTCTTTATCGTGCCAACGTTTCGATCTTTATTGAGATCATCTTCAGGGCCTAGGATTTACAAACATTGTTTACGTATAACAATTACATTTTGGATGTGGAAAAGTGAATTTATACAATGCAAAATATATTTTTTTTATATATTCAATCAAAGTATTTCTACTCACTCAAAGTGTTTGTCTTCTGTGTAATTGTGCCACTCTTGCGAGTCGTGTCGAGAGTGCCGGTGAGATTTTGCTATTTTGTGTTTATATACGTTGGATTTTGAAAGGGTGGGGAAGGATGTCGGTATAGAAAAGACATTTTACCACCATGCACCACGTTACATTCCACACATCAAATATTTTTCACATAGTCTATTTTCCCAACAATTTAGCTTTCCTTTTCCTATTTATCCCTTTCTATATAATCCTGGAAGGATTATATGGCCGAACCATTACCAACACTTTTTTTCCCTTCGTCGGCTCTTTTCACCTCAATGAAACCGACGCCATATACAAAAATGTCTTTTCTATATCGACATCCTTCCCTATCCCTTCAAAATCCAACGTACATAAACACAAAATAGCAAAATCTCACCGGCACTCTTGACACGACACGCAAGAATGGCACAATTACACAGAAGACAAACACTTTAAGTGAGTAGAAATTCTATGAATGAATATAAAAAATATATTTTGCATTGTATAAATTCACTTTTCCACATCCAAAATGTAATTGTTAAATGTAAACAATGTTTGTAAATCCCAGGCCCTGAAGATGATCTCAATAAAGATCGAAACTTGGCACAATAAAGAAAATGTTTTTCTGAAACCTACATCACACCAGACCGCATCTCACGATTTCTAAATAAATAAAATGTGTTATTTCATTTTTTATCTAATCGGGTATTGCTTTCCAAGGGAAAAGGGAATCAGTTTAAAATAAATCAATAACATGGTATATGACGCCTCATTTTCCAATCTATTATTATCTGAATCCTTGTGAATTTATAGAATCTGTCATTTGGTAAAGATTATAAACAAAATTATAGTTTCAAATACATTTATAAATTAAAAAATACATTTATACATACATGTCGGTCCAACAATGGGAATGATTTTTTTGAAAATTTCTTAAATGAACAAGATTTATTAGTAGAAATTATGAATGATGGAGTGGATGTGGAGTTCAAACCTTTTTAAAAAAATGGTTCCTACTCACACTTTTGAATTCAAGTCGAGAGACGTGTTTGTAGAAACCCTGATGATGAGCTAAAGGGCTCGAAATCCGGATTGTTGCGAAACAACTTATTGTGAGTAGGAACCATCTTTTTAAAAAGGATTAGATTTATTAGTAGTTTTCCAACAACAATTATCATTTCTCGTTTTTTCTATAAGTAACTTCACCAAACAACTACAATGATAAGTAAGACAATTCACACCTTTGTGATACTCCCGTTTATATTCAAATCATTAAAAATGGGATTTTTGTAGGATTGATGATCAAGCGATCAAGCGTTGAGAAGAGAATATCTTTTTGGATCGATTTCAAAAGTTTTCAACGTTAAGCTTTTGTAAATTACTTGAGTGCTCTAATTAAGATCATTTCTGGCCGACCGAGAACCGGGCAAGCGAAGCGAAAGTTCAATTTTCATCGTTTTTTTTTCTTTCTCGTTCCCCTTTTGCTTCCTTCAAAACTAATTTATACTTGCCCGAACGCAGCCGAAAAAGATTGAAGCAATTAAGTTATAATGGGCCTTCTGAAATGTTCTTAATCACGATGGAATTATTTTCGGGGTTCGATGACGGCGTGATGACACGGTTGGCCAAACGGGGCAAATCGTGTCAACCGCAACACTGTGGTCGAATCGTTCATAAGTATATTCACTCATGCGGCCGCAGGCTTGCCCTAGTGGAGTGAGTGTGTGTTTTCATATGCCAATCTTTTTCGACCTTTCGCTTGCAATTTTTTTTGTCGTAAGGTGCCAGCGCTAGATTTGGGACTACTTAAAAGGAACATATTAATGAGAAGCAGATCACAAAGAAGTTGACAACTTAGCTCAAATGCGGTCTTTATGGATATAGAATTTAAAATCGTGTGATCTGGTTTAGAGACATCAAAATGAGAAAACCTTTTTTACATCCTTTTTAAAAAGATAGTTCCTACTCACAGTAAGTTGTTTTGCAACGACCGGATTTCGAGCCTTTTAGCTCATCATCAGGTTGAAGGACTTCTACAACCACGTCTCTCGACATGAATTGCCAAAGTGAACCCGCTGATACTCCGCCAACGCGACGTTCCAAGTAGCAGCTAATTTTTTTAATGGCGCTCAATTTGAACGAGCGAAACGCGGAAATTATAACACAAATAAATATTATACTAGTAAATACTTAATATTATTAAATTACTATAAAAATAATAACAATTAAAATAATTAGTTTAATAATTTGGATGTTTGATATTATTTATGTACATAATTAAAATGGGAGGTAGATCAAAATCTGTTATATTATTAATGCATTTATCACCATGTTCAATTTTACATTTTTTAATTTCAAATTTTTCAAACCAATTTAATTCTAAATACAAGAGTGTTACATAGTTCCAACAAAGGGAAAGAATTAGATTTGTATCAAGGAACTATCTTTTTAAAATGGATTGAACACCACCCTCACTCCATCATTTATCATTTCTATTACCTTTTTTACATTGTGCTTTACTCACACAATTCTTGTAATGATAACAACTACCGAAGCGTTTGAGTTGTTAATGATTTTGTTGCAATCGTAGCCTATACATAATTGTACATATTACAAATATGATGACAGTAGGTTTTTTTTTCCACGGTCACAGTTCTAACACTAGTGCTAGTGCTGCACGGGGAGACATGCCGTGAGAAACCGTCAA